GCTGTTGCCCAGGTACCTGTTGCTAATGCAGGACCTGATCCAAGGAAGAAGAGATGCCCTCTGCACCCAGTTGGGAATAGCTTAGAGAGGAGCTCAACTAATTCCCTTAAAACTTCTGTCTTGCCTTTAAGCAGCTGCCAAAGTCCTGGTAGAAACCAAGTCTGGAGTGTACCTGTTGCTGAAGGAGCTGCAAGGAGGTTTGGGTGGCTAATCCCTGCCCTTGGCATCAGGGGAAGACAGCTAGTAACTCTGCTGAGGTGACACATACGGCCAATACGTTTTTTTTAAACTACAGCATTTAGCAGCAAAACATAACAGAAGCCTGCACAAAAACAGCCTCTGCTCCATCTCAGCGTGCCCTATCCTTTTCCTGATATTACCCATTATTGTTTCTCAGATAATCATAGTGAGAGCTCGGGACTCTCTCAGAAGGGGCTAAGGGAAGCCTGAGGCAGCCAGCTGCAATGGAGAGGGCCCCGAGAGGCAGACAAAATGTGAGAGAAGGAAGAGACACGAGCTTTGCTTTCACTGCATTACCTCCCTAAATACATCTGCGCTCTGAGCTCTGCCAGGTGACCCCGCTGGGATTCATTCCTTGCTGCACGAGGAAGGTCAGCTGGAGACATTCAAAGCAAGACCCTGCCGTTAAACCCTGAGAGCAGAGGGTTGATTACCTACAATGTTCACTCCCTCTCCCCTGGTAGCTCAGGCGATGGCTCCGCAGCTTCAGCAACAGACACCGGCTCACTTAAAACTAGATGGGGGAAAAAAAAAAAGATCAGTGGAGGGACAGTCCTGGATTGGCCAGAGGCAGGGGACAGAAATGGATAAAAGCACCTCAAAGGTCTCATCCTTCATGCTCTCTGGGGCTCGGAGGGGAAGGAGCAGGCTTGTGGATTTGTTTGGTGCAGGTAAGAGCTGGCCTCACTTATGATCTCGCTCTCTCAAGGGCATTTCTCCTCCTTCGCTGCCTTCTGCTCCCCTGAGCCCACGGGTCTGACTGCTGCATCCTCGTTCCAGCCCAGTGGTTTTGAGGTTGCAGCGGTGCTTCCCCTCTTCCTTGCTGAGCAGCCTCACGCCAAAGCAGCTAGAGGACTGTGATCAAACTGCAGCTCAAGGGAGCAGAGAACACAGAAAGCAAAAACCCTGTTCTTGGGTCTACATCAGGATCAGGAAATCACAAGGGCTTCTCTGGTTCCAGGGCAACAATCTGGTAAACCTCATCTAAGACAAATTAAAGACTTTTGTTAAAGAAATTAAATGCTTCAAATCTCATCATGTGAGCTGTCGCTTCTAAGTACTGTGAGCGTCGGCGTCAGGAGGCAGACGGCTGCCAGCAGGGGCGGCGCCGTCCAGGGATCACTGCATGTACGAGTATTTCCAGTCCTCCAGGGGCACATGGGTCTCCTTGATAGCTTGAGGAGATGTCCAACGTAGTATGTAGTGGCGACCGCCGGGCTTATCGTTGGTGCCTGTTTGAAAAGGAGGGAAACTGTGTTTTACTGGAGACCTGCAGAACAGAGCAAGCCCCCAAGTTTGCCTTGGGATAGGTTCGGTAGTGAGATCCCAATCTTTTGGGGGAAGAAATGGGAAGCAGAGATAGGGCATGACTTGTCCTGGCTTTGCTACACAGCAAGAGCTCAGCCTTGCTGACTCTCAACACCCGGCCGTGGGAGCGAGCTGATTAGAGAGAAACACCCCGAACGGGGACCTGTTCCTGCTCCCAGGCGAGGTTCTGCCCACTCACCCGAGGCACGGGCCCCTCCAAACGGCTGCTGCGCCACAACCGCGCCGGTCGACTTATCGTTGATGTAGAAGTTGCCTGCCGCGTTCCTCAGGAGCTTCCTCGCTTCCTGGATGGCGTTCCTGGGAACGACAGGGAGGAACGGCTCTGGTCAAGTGGGACCACTGCAGCGAGACTTGAGATGAGAAGTGGTACTCTCCCCCACCCTGGGGGTCTTCAAGAGGAGACTGGACAAGCACCTGGCTGGGTCGTCTGACCCATTCAACGCTTGGCTTCTGCACTGTGGCTGCCCCCCAGCTCTGTTCCACTTTGGATGAGAGATGTCCTGGTCCTAAGCTCACGTCTCACCTCTCCCACACCCTTCCCAGCCTGCTCTGCCATCCCTTGGAAAGCCATTTCCCCCCTCTGAGGAACCTGCTGCAACTCCATACTCAAGGAGCAGCAGTCTCCTAGCAAGAACCCACCTAAGACACTGGCACAGATGCAAAATCCAGCCCCTCTTACAGCAGAACCACATTCGCCGACAGAGAAGCGGCACGAGGTGTCAAGACGCCTCCTTGCCCGCGGTCGCTCTTGCAGCCACGCTGCCCGGGACGCCAGCGGGGAAAGAGAAAGCTGCTAAGTGCCCGGGCTTTTCTGCCAGGAGGCACGGCAAATAGAGGGAACTCGTGCCAGCTCAAAGCAGAATTATTTAGCCCCTTTCGGCAAGCAGCGGTTTCCTCGGGTTGCCAGAAATGAGCAATAGAGGAGAGCGCGGGCGCTGCCAGCCCACGGCAAAGCAACGAGGTTTCAGGCACTTACTTATCCTGGGCAAACACTGCCCCCGTGAGGCCGTAGGGAGACGTGGTGTCGATGAGCTGGAGGATCTCCTTGTACTGCTTCTCCGGGTAGACGTAGACGGCCAGGACCGGGCCAAAAATTTCCTGCGTAGCAAAATAAAGGCCATCAGGACAGGGGCATCTGAGCCTGGGAGCAGGTCACCTGCATCCGTCAGGGACACCTGTCCCCAGCTTCCAGCAGGGACAGATCACCAGCAAAACACCCCATTTAATTGTTTAGGAAGCAGACATGCACCCCAGAACATAGCTGGGCCTTCTTTGGAGCCTCACACACTCAGCCCTTTTACCTCGCAGGCTAAGCTCAGGGTTATTCTGGCTGGGTCGGTACTTCCAGGACTGTAAAAGATGGGGCAGGAGAAAAGAAAGCCTCGAGAGCATCGGCTGTAAGTCAGTCTGTGCTGCTTCTGAGGTGTGGCAGAGAAGGACTAAGCTTTCTGCTCTCCCATCCCCGTAAAACGGAGGCTGCATTTACGGGTTGTTGTGATAAAGCCCATGCTTTTCCTTTACTTCAAAGGCTCTAAGATTAGGAGCTTGAGGGCCCTGCCCAGCTGGAGTTTAATACAAATGCAGCCCTCAGGCTCTTTATTTGCTATGTGGTTTCTCTCCTCTTGGGTCACCCTGGTGATGAAGTGTTGGAATGAGATGGAGCTGGGTAGCCGGGAGTGCTTCCTACTACGTCCAGGCTCCCCATCAGTGAGCCAGGTGCTGCCTTGGGAATGTGTGTGGGGAGCATCCTGCACCAGTGGTCCCTGCTGCCCCTGTTAATAGGTTGCCTGGACAGTCCCATCTCCAAGCTCCATGTTTCTGGTGATCTTCCACCTGCCCTCTTCACTGCCACGCCAACCTAGGAGGAGGAAGGCACCACCAGCCAGCGCAGGCACTCACCTCTTTCATGATGGGATCCTTCGGGTCTTTGGTTTCCACAATACACGGCTCGATGAAATACCCGACTTCGTCATCACACTTCCCGCCTGCCAAGATGGTGAGGTTGGGCGACGTCTTGGCATGCTGGACCCACTTCTTAATCCGCGCAAAAGACTAAAACCCACAAAGCAAAGGGGTCAGAAGGGAGGTCTTGCCCGATGGCAACACAAACAAGGGATCTGCCTCGGTGCTCCAGTGAGTGACTTCATGACCTTCACCCGTCTCATACTGGAAGACTAACGCGGACAGTGTTGGACCCATGTCCCTGAATCTGTACCCAAGAGGACACCACTTGGGAGATGCAATGGTGTCCAGGTTACGTCTTGCATACAGCAGCTGCCCTCAAAAGCCAGCCAGCAGAAGCCACAGCCCCAAGTATTAGATGGGTACAAGGTGGAAAGTGGTCACCCTGCATGTTGCAGTACCAGCTGTGCTTTTCTATTTAAGAACAGCATCAAGTGCAATCCCAGTGGCCAGTGTTTGGCTAGCCAGCGGGGTGCCAGGCATGGGACTTCCCAAAGCCTTCAGAACGAGGGGCACGGCCCATGCCGGAGGCACCCTTGCCCTTTAACACCAGAAAGCACAGCTAAGCCAGTGCCTGTCAGCTCAGGGAAGCACAGCAGGGCCTCTGTAGGAAAGAGAGCTCATGGAAAGGGATAATGGACTGATTTACTGGAAATGGGCAGACCTGGAGACTGCTGGGGAAACAGGAGGAGACCACTGGATGGGGGATCCAGCCAGAAGGCTCGTGCGAGACATGGCAGCGGGGTCTGTTATGAGCAAGGGCACATAGACCGGGGGCCCAGTTCAGAGAGCAGGGCTAGCTGGTGCCTGGGGCAAAAGGGATGGATCTTACCTTGTCATCGATCACCGCAGAGAAGAACGTCCCAAAGTCCTTGGCTGGCTGCAGAGGGAAGGAGGGGAGATCATGGGAGAGTAATCCGGCTCCTTCACCCCTTTCCAAGCACTCCCCAGGTAACCCCAGAGGTGGGAGAAAACAGGCAGATACATCTGGGGTGCCCTAGTTTAATATTATGCACCCCCCCACTACCCCATGCACCCGCAACGCGAGCCAGCCGCTCTTTTCAATTAGGCTGCAACGAAGAGCTGCTCGCACCGTCGTTCCTGCACCGAGTTGGCTACAAGTTAATTTCTAATCACTAGAAAGACGAAGGGTGGGTGGGGGGAGAAGAACCAGTGGATAAAAAGCTCGGTTCAATAGGAATTAGCAGCCGGCTACCGCAGTCTCTAATCCCATCAGCCACCCGCTGAGCCGCAAAGCCCTGCCGTAGCCCCGCAGCTCCACTCACGTCTCCCACTTTGATCTTCCCGTGCTCCTCCAGCAGCTTCGCTTTGATCTGGGGCCACAGCGAGTCGGGGGCGTAGAGGCGGGAGCAGGCCGAGCACTTCTGGCCGCCATACTCGAAGGCCGAGCGCAGGGTCCCGTTCACCACGGTGGGCACGTCGGCCGAGCTGTGCACCAGGTGGAAGTTCTTCCCGCCGCACTCTGCGCTCAGGAAGAGGGAGACAAACCCCCGGGTGGGCCGTGAGCAGAGCGGGCCCTGCTTCATCACCCTGCAGGCACCTGCAGCCAGGCCCCAGCTCCCTGCACTTCAGTCTTGCCTGGTCCTACCCAGGGCTGTCCTAACCCACCCCCCCTCAAAAGCTCCTCAAGAGGCAGGGCTGCCTTTAATCAACAGCCTGACCAGCAGCACCAAGCATCTCCAGCAACCCTGGGAGAAAGGCCAAGGTTCTCCGTACCTTTGCACAGGTGCAGAAACCAGACTCGCCTCAAGATAACCCAGTACATTAGAGGCAAAGATCACCCTCAAATCTTGCATCCCAACTCTGAAGTGGAGCAAGAGGCACTGTTCCCTCAACCCTAATCGGCTCTGCTGCCTTGCACTCCCCACGGGTCTCCCCCTCTCTTATTTTTCCCCCTCCCGGTAGCAGGACAAGGGAAGCTGAAACAGGGCCTGTTGTCTCACTGAGTCTTGCTGGGTAGCCACCGATCTATACACGGGGGAGGGAAGGTTCATAGATACATAGATAGATAGGGGCTGGAAGGGACCTTGTAGATCATTGGGGTCCAGTCCCCCTGCACTAGGCAGGAAAAGACAACTGGAGTCAGATGCTCAGGTCCCATAGAGAGCATTAGGTGATCAGGCTGCAGGAGACCAACAGCTACAGCCCCAAAATCCCCTCTGGAGCAGGTCACACAGCGAGCACTGACACTGTTCTGCTGGGCTTGGAAACAGTGGGCAGGTCTAAGGGGACGTCCGCTTATCATCCCAGCAAGACGTCCCACCTCTCCAGCTTCTGCATCGAGGAGTATTCTTCCCACCTGCGAGGCATTAGCTGTACGGAGGACAGAGCCCAGGAGTCCCTGCCTTCCTCCCTCTGCTCTGAACACGAGACCATGTGTCCTCCAAGGTCAAGAATAAGAACCCAGGGGTCCTGACTGCCAAACCCTCACTGCGACTCGTACTATGCCCACCATGTTCCTCTGTGCACGTCTGGTAAGAAGAGCCCCTCTGCAAATCAGAGTTAGGAGCCGAGGGGTCACTAGAGCCAGACTCTTTACTGCTCATATCCCACCCAGGAAAGCACTCAGCTGGAAGGCCCCTGATGGCCAAGTCAGGACAGGTACCTCCAGCCAGGCGTGGGAAGGTGCGGTACCGGTCCAGGTTCTCAGACACCTGCTTCCAAAGACGCTTGAAGGTCCTGAAAGGGAGAGGAGGAGAGTGAGACACAAGCAACACACACAGCCAGCTACCAGCACTGCTGGGCAGCTCCGATCTGACCCACAAAGAGTCTGGGGGAAAAGAGTCCAGCCCCAAAGCCACCGATCCATCATCTCCGAGACCCATTCCCTCCTGCTTCCCACTCTCCAGTCACACCAGAGGACTTGATCCAAACCCTTTGGGCCCTGGTTCAGGTCCTGAGAAACAAGAAGGGAGACAAGATCCACCCAAGGATGGGGGTGGCCTGGAGGGCAGACCCGGGCCGAGCACTGCTGCTTCGACCTGCAGCAAGGGGCACAACAGGACAAGCCAAAACAGATGGCAAAACCTGGCGAAGAGAAGCAGCGCAGGGAAGAACAGCGTCCGACAGGAGTTTCCCATTCTCCTCTTTCCCCCCTTCTTTTTTTGTGACTGTGACAAACCCCTGCTCTACAAAACAATAAAAATGCTAATAAACTCCCACCAGGAGCTACAGCCGCTAATACTAATTTATGAGCTTCCCACCTTTAAAGCACAATGCTCATCAGACCATGTCATCTGGCAGTTTAGCAGGGCCCCTGGATTTTAATCATCTGGCGTCTTTGGGAGCGGAGCTCCGGGCAGAGCTAGCAGAACCCTTCAAGGAAATAACTCACCCTGAAGCGCCAGCGAGAGAGCGTGTTGGCAAATCTACCTGGGGAAAGGGGCACCTGCTTGAAATGCCATTTAGTGGGATGTGGATTCCTTCACGCGGCTAATTCCCGTCCCCTTAATGCCCATCGGCAGGGGAAATGTGGAATAAATAACGCGCAGCTCGCCCGAGCGGCTCTTAAAGAGCTTTGCAAATAGTTAGCGAAAGCCTCTGTGTCTTCAGGGGAGAAGCGGGTTTGCCCTTGTCTTACAGAGGTGCTTTAACCTCTGGCTATGCCTCAGTGTCACACCACGAATGAGGACAGGATCCAGGCCCCAAGCGCCCAGCTCTTTCCTCCCCCTGCCAGACACGCTCCCTGCAGCCAAAGACCACTGGGAATTTAAGCCTGTCCCGACACCTAGGTCAGGTTTGATCTAGTGGGGCCCCAGCACTTGACCACAGCATCAATGCGAGTCTAGGTGTCTCTACGAGCAACTGTACTGGAGGCTTCTACAATAAGGGGTCTGCCGTGTTCGTCTTAAGGGTACAAAGACCCCATAGCTGGGGAAGGTCTCCTCCTGGGTCACCACCCCCTGGAAAGCAGCACCCTTCCACTTCTCCCACGTGACGTTATCAGCATGGTGCTAGAAAACCCCTTTGTCTTAGCAGCAAAGCAAACAGGGTGATGCAAGAGCAAGGCCTGCTCCATGTCTGCATTCAGCCAGGAGCACCTTGCTCCTGGTCCTCAATGAACCATCAGGGCCTGCAAAACATTGCTGCGTGGCCTCTCAGCAGAAGATGCAGCCGTGCCCCACTTCTCGCGAAGGACGGCCCTAGCCCCTTGCACTTACGGCACGCTGCCCGTGAAGTTGAGCCCGGCAAAGTGCTCGGAGCTCGTGACCGTGTCTCCAAACACAGGCCCATCGGCTGGGACGAACTGGATGACGTTGGGAGGGAGGCCGGCTTCCAGCAGAATCTTATACACGGCGTAACTGGACAGCATGGCCGTGTCGCTGGGCTTCCACAGCACCACGTTGCCCTGGGGCAAGAGGAAAACACAATAAACCAATGCATGAGGAAGGGCTCTGGGGCGCCCCAGATTAACCCAGCTGTAGCACTAGAGTCCTGCCCTCAGCGACCCGACGCACACTCGCCTCCCAGCAGGAGGGGTCAGAGCAGGGAGGCCCTCGGCTGTGTGCAGGGGTCCAGGGGTCCTGAGCTGTATGGGGCTCATGCCCTGCGCATCCCCTCCAACTCACACACGTGCACATACGTGCATATGCACACACACACACACACGGGGGATGTCCTCCCTGGCCCCTGACAGAGGCTGCTCCCTAGGTGCACACATCCCCTGCATCAGAAAGACTTCCCTGTTCTCCATCTCAGTGCTTCTCCTCTCCATTACACCTCCTAGTCCCCCCTGGGGAGTGACATCCTAGTGTCTGGAGACCTGTGTCCCCTGCCTTTGTCATTGCTCTAGAGGGGCTGAATACAGGCAATCTGCATGGATGTTTCCCCCTCCAGTCCCCAGGGAGGACACCAAGTGGATGGACACAGTGCGTTTCATTCGTGGTTTCAAGCTGACGTCCTGCCCAGTAAAGATCCCAGGGTGCTTTTGCAAGAGCAAATGTGGGTACATCACACCCACTGCCCTGCCCAACCCCTTGGCACTGCATCTGCCTGCCAGGCTGCTATCGGAGCCACGAGCGCCTGCAGGAAGGCACCCACCCACTCCCCCAAACTATCAGCAACACACAATCCCAATGGGTTTCCTAGAATAGGAGCTGGATAATTGCTCTTTCATTAGCAGGCTCCCCTGTGCAACGGACTGCATAATCCTGCCTGTTTGGGAGAACCTAAGTGCCCCAGTCAGGAGCCAGGCACCGTGCAAGGAGAGCGAAGAGACGGTCCCACGTCCTGTGCCCCTCTCCCAACACACACACTCACTCCATTATGGTGACCATCCTTCAAAATGCCATGCATCTCTCCTCTGCAATGTCCAAAACTCAGTGAAAGCAGTGAGGAAGTAGCCAGTGGAAAACCAAATGCTGCCTCTCATTCATCCAACAGCTTGGCCTCTTGACATAAGGGAAGGCTCACAACTGCAGTCCAGCGAGAACCTCGCCTTGACCCAGGTACCGTGAGCAGGGGTTCTCTCCGCAGGGCTATTTCATTACTGCTTTGCCTATGTGACCACCCCCCAGGATCCCCAGAGTAAAAGCAACGTAATCCCGGAGTCATTATTTTGGAATCAGGAGTCCATCCAAGGCAGTTGCAATGACATCGTTATAAGGCAATTCCCCCGTGCAGACAAGCTCTTCCCCATGCAAGGAGCAGCTCTGCTCTAACCCACAATGTACCAGGACCAAACCCCCCGACTGTCACAGTCCATCTCGCCAGCACCAAATCTGCTGACATACAGTCCCTTGCTTTGCTCCTATCCCGTTCCAGGGGTCTGGGCATCCTACGTGGGCAGCACAACGTTTAGCAGCTTGGGGCTGGATGCAGCTGCTCAGGGAATAGACTCAAGAGAATGGGATGGATGTGCACGAGTGAAAGCAGGCCCATCTTGGCAGCTGCTGACGAGCCATTTGGGTAAACGGGGCTGGAGCGATAAGGGGCAAGGTCAGGATGTCTCAAGTGGACTGACATTTGACAAGGGATGGATGCGGGGCACAGGAAGGGGCTCAATCTATAGATGTCCAGCTTGGGAAGCACCTGAATTGGGCCCATTTCATGAGGGTGAGAGCCACGTGCTTTGACCCGGCACTTTAGACCAGGTGCCCTGAAGGACAAGCCCCTTTGGACAGTTCGAGCTGAGCTGTACAGCCCCTGGATGGGCATCTGGGTTCGTGTGGCCTGGGCAACAGCTTTTCTGTGACCATGCACGGGCTCCAACAGCTTCCTTTGAAACCACCTAAACCCCTGGCCCACAATCTGGCATGCTGCTTCAGCCCCTTGCAGCAGCACCGAGGGGTAGGATTGCCCCTTGTAATGATTGCTTTACACCAGGTAATTCTCAGCTGGGCAATCTCACTGCCTGGGGTACCGAGAACCAGGCAGCGATCACTGAGATCCACCCACCCTGCAGATCTCAGCCACTATTTGAATGCCAGGCACTAACAGCCCACTCTCCTCCCTCCCTTTTACTTACCCCCCTAGAGCACAACTGCCGAGCCAGGCTGGAGCTTCGAAGCCTGCAATTCTCCTGGCCGGTTCCCACCCTCCCAAGTGTTCGGAAAACCCCCGTGTCCTTCCTCATGCTACGACCGGGCGCAAGCTGCTGCTCCTGGGAACAGCCTGCTGCACTTGAGCAATCCTACCTGCTCGCACGAGTGCCGCCGTGATCAGCCGTTTCTGACCCAAGCGCCCGTGTAACACGGCGCGACTGTGAAATTAGTAGCCTCATTAACAAGTTAATTTCACAGTCTCCTAATGCAACCGCTGCTCTACAACCGGCTCTGATTAGGGCGTATGGTCCTTATGCCAGCCCTCCCACCGGCACCACTCAACACCGGCCCAACCCGGCCACGCTGCCCGCTACGGCAGAATAGCGACGCCGGTGTTGCCCCCTGCCTGAAGCAGCCCAGGGAGAAAGGGTGACCTAGAGGTTCCCAGTGCCCTTCTCTTACACAAGGGCAAAGGGACATCTCACAGATGACATTTAAAAAGGACGGGCAAGGTTTTGTCCAATGCAAGGTTCAGCTTGCCACTAGATGTCACCGCGGCCAAGAAATTAGCAAAAGCAAAAGGACCATTACATGGAAAAGGGGTTACAGCAAGCAAGAGGCTTATAACAAACCCTGCTGCTTCAGGGCAGGTGGCAACTACCAGCAGCCAGGACGAGCTGCTGGAGTGGGTGGGCCTTACCATTTGTTCTGAACACCTTGAAATCTGCCTTTCCCCAGCCTGGGTCTTTTGGGAGCCCAGCCCCGGTTTTCCAGTAAAGTTGCTTTACCAGTGATCATGAGCTGATGGCTTGCTGGCACCCAGCTGGCTTAAGGCGATAGGCCCTATCATGCCTTAAAAAAATCCAAACACTGCCCAAAGATCACCCCCATCCCAAACACTCACCATCAACGCCGGAGCCCCTGCCAGGTTCCCACCGATTGCCGTGAAGTTGAAGGGAGAAACAGCTGCCACAAAGCCCTGCAGGGAGGAAGAGGATGAATCTCACAGTGCAAAAGCCCTGCTGGGTGGGGGAGGATGGAAAGGCTTCCCACCAGGACGCACAAAGAGCATGGGGCACCTATCCCACCCTCCAGCACAGCCACCAGCCTGATCCGAGGGGAGAGACCCTGCTCGCCCCGCCACGGTGGAAGTCGGTGCCCCTGCTCACCTCCAGCCCCCGGTAGACCATGCTGTTGGTGCTGACGGGCACGCTGATGAGCTGCTCCTTCTCCAGCTCCATCGCATACTTGGCATTGAACCGGAAGAAATCGATCAGCTCGGCCGCAGCATCGATTTCCGCCTGGATGATGGTTTTGCCCTGATGGGAGAACGGGGAAGACCAGTGAGGCTCAGGCACCCCCTACATGTGCCTCTCGCTGAGGCTGGGGCAAGCACGGGACATGTCATCACACACCACATCCCTCCACATATCCTCTGCCAGCAGAAAGCCCGATTCCCAAAATGGGGCTGGGTTTGGCAGCAGCACCCTGAGGTCTTCTGGCCCACCCCAGCTTCAAACTGAGCTTCACCCACTACAGAGTGCTGGATCCAGCCCAGCAAACACCAGCATACCAGGAAACCCCAGCCCTGCCCAGAACAACGCCTGTTTTACCTCTTAATAGTTGCAGCAAAGACCTGAGCCACCCATGGGGCTTGCTGATCACCCAGCAAGGACAAGGTGCTAGTGAGCCCCCTCTGCCCCCCACGTACAGTTGAGTTCCTGCCCATGCTTGGCACCCTCCACCTGCTTCTACAGCAACCAGTGCTCAAGGGACTCAAGCCAAGAGAGGTGGAGGGCACTTTCACCCACTGCCAGGTATTTCCACCCACTCAGCAGGCTCTTGGTCCTGAGCCTGGCCTTAAATTCCCTACTTAGCACTTGGGAAGGGTGGATTTTAGCACCGCTGAAGAGACCTCCCTGCAGTGTCCCTCTTCACACAGGCCCCTCTCTGCCAGAACAGGCTGAACATGCCCAGCACCAAGAGAGGGTAAGTCACCATCCAGCCAGTCCTCAGAGTCATGGGTGTATATAATGCTAGGGCCACTCATCTGAGCCCATCTCTACGGTATAGCCCCACCAGCTTCTCATCCTCATTAAGCCTGCCCATTTCTCCTGCACCCAACCCTCCAGTCGTCATGGCTGGTCCCAGCAGTCCTCGCATGCAGCCCTACCTGCCCGATCATGGTTTTTGCCAGCACTTCCGCTCGCCTAGGGCCACTCAGCAAGTCAGCCGCCTTGAAGAAGATCTGTGCCCGGTCCTCGATGGGCCGGAGGTCCCACTCCCTCCGTACAGCCACAGCAGCATTGATGGCTTTGTTAATCAGGTCCTACAGAGAGACGGGTGGAAGCACCAGGCCAGATCAGGGTACAGGAAGGCTCCGATCCAGGGCTGAAGGCAGGAGACACTGTCTATATGGGCACCACCCACCCCACCTCCACCCCACACACATTCCTCACAACCTGCAGCCTGTCCTGAAGTCCACGGCTGCACGCTCACATGACTCTAAATACCAAGGGCCTCACCAGACGGCAGGTCAAACTCAACGGGGTTTTCTAGATTTTTTTGGTGATGGTTATATCACTTCACATGTTAATAAGCACTTGGGGACTCCCAAGCTGTCTCCATGTAGCCCACTGGGAGACAGAGGAGCCATAAATAGCAGGGTTCCCTCAACTACTGAAAAGCAGCCACCTCTGGAAGGGCAGGCAGCAGCTGGATAGCACGGCATGAGGACAGATGAGCTGTTATACCATTTTTAAAGGAATGGAGGACATGCTGCTGTTCAGCTGAATCTCCTGCAACCATTGCGTGCCTGCTCCTGTCCCGTGGGCACTGGAAGGTAAGCTACAGCCGGCAACCCCCAAGAGAAACAATGAACACTGTTTAGCTTCCCCTTCTGCAGGACCAGAGCAGGCAGGTCGACTGCCCCCGAGCAGCAAGTCCTCCGTCCCCGTTGAGGACAGTCAAACCCTTCATCTGCCCTCACCCCATTTCTGGCAGGAAGGCAAGACCAATCTTTGCTCCAGTGGAAACTTCTAGGAGTTTCCATTCCAGCTGCCAAATGGCCCAACCTGGGGCCTGGCTGGGGACCGTGGTCTTCCAACACCTGTCTTGGAGCACAGCACCCAGCATTGTGCAGAGCCCAGCTCAGTGCTAGCTCTGAGGAAAAGGGACCTGCTAAGGAGTCACCTACAGCACTTCCTCCAGCGGCTGGACAGACCTCCCATCCACCTCAACCACACCTTGCACTGCAGGAGGCTGAAACCCCCTCCAAAATGTGTCAGGCCCCTGCAAGGAGGAGAAGGAGCACTGTATCCTGAGGGAGGTGGAAAAAGCACCTGTATGGGGCACTAGCTTGGCTGCTGCTGGCGCCCAGCCTGTGGCACTGGAAAGGCTTAGGGCAAACAGCAGCTGGCTCCTTGGCATGGCAGCAAGGGGCTCACGTGTCAGGAAGCAGGCTCACATGCCTCCGGCTGGCAGCATGGGGTGCCGGGCCTGCTGGGACAGGCAGGATCAGTTGCACTTTGCTCTCTTCCGGGGCAGACTCCACAGGCCTGTGCTGCTGCTGCTGCTACGGGAGCACCCAATCCAGTACTGCCCTCCCACCCTGCGTCCTCAAGCCCCCTGCAGACCGCAAACTGGAGGGCAGATCCGGGCCGCCTCACAGGGCACACTCACCTTGTCCGCGTAGCAGTACTTGGCCACCTTGTGTTCATGGTTGTACGGCTGCAAAGAGGAGGAGGAAAGTCTGGGGTGATTTGTGCTGCAATGAAATACCTCCCCGACAACACTCCCTGCCCTCCCATCCCCATTGCTCCCAGGCACCTGCTCCCCTTCCACAGCAGCCTCCCTTGCCTTTCTGCTGGGGTCACCCAGACACCCAAGTCCCACATCAGCCGGTCTCGCTATTACACTTGCTTGCAACAAACATTCGCCTTGTCTGTGCAGAGAGAGACTGAAATGCAGGTTCCAGCCCAGAATTCAGCTACTCCGAAGCCAGGCAGAGCCAGGCTCTGCATCGCTCCGGAAACCCGCACGGACCGAGGGTTTTACAACAGCTTCTGCTGGAGACTGGGATAGCACAGAGACCGGACTGAGACCCATCTGCCAGCTACAGGGCTCTTCCGCCTTCCTCTGCAGCTGCTCCAGCTGTGTTCATCCAGCGGACTGGACGGATGTGAGTCCAGGCAACAGGATGGTTTCTTGGGGCCTGAGAGGGATGTCCCCAAGGCCCCTGGTGACTGTGTTCATCTAGCCAGGAGCAAGGTAGCAGAGACCTGTCCCACCCCGCAATGCTGGAGCTCCCAGGGCCCCTGCAACCAGGCACTCACCGACAACTGGTACCTCACGTCAGACGTCCACACCTCCTGTCCCCCGACCACGCATGGAACGGCCTCAGTCTTGCCCTTCAAGTCGTTTAGTGCCTGGGGGTGAATGAGGACCAAGTGAGGCTGGCAGCTCCCCTTGTCAGAGGGAAAGCGAGACAGATGGGGACCTTTCCCCAACACACAGAGGGACCTAATGAAGATACCCCAGCCCTGCACACAGCCCCTGCCAGAGTCCTTCTTCACCTGCCCACCAGCCTGGCACCAGGCTCATGCCCTGAGGAGAGGGGAAGCTTGGATTTGCCCTTCAGCCAGGGTGAGGACGTGCATTGTAGGAGCTGGAAGAGGTGGATGGGGAGGATAAAAGGCTCTTCCCCAGGAGGGTGACAACCAGAGGCTGGGAGAAGCATCCTGCCACCTGAACTAAAGACCAGCCTGGAGGGGCAGCGCCGGCTTGGTACCTTCTGCAGGGCGGCTCGTTCCAGGCTGCCCAGCTTGAACTCCAGGATGGGCTCGTTGGCCACCTCGAAGGTCGAGCGGTGTTGCCATCGCAGCCTGCACGGGGAAGGAGTGAGAACCATTGAGAATCCACAACCGGCTTCACCCCAGCTGGGCCACAGAGCTCCTGGACCCCAGAGACGGGCCTCCGACGAGTCCCTGCCGGCGACGACCCCATGACACACCCAAACACTTTCTGGCTACAAAGAGGAGCCCTTGCAGGACCAGGAGGAAAACATCATTATGCCGTGTCCGTACAGCACCAAGCACAACTGGGCCGAGACCAGGCATCTTCATGCAATGCAAACTACAGCTCCGGTCTCTACCAAGGCTGTTTCATCTGTGCACCCGACAGCACTGAGTGCGCGATGGGCCTCGCCGCGTGCTGCGCGGGTCCGTCGCACCCCAAAGGGAAGAGACAAGCCACTCAAATGGATAGGAAAGCACGGTCACTTCAAATAGCCCTCTCTCTGCAAGTCACTTAGGACCCAAGTCGCATCAGCTGCCAATGAGACTTAGGCTCAGAAATCTCAATTTTTACTTGTCAAAAAGTTCGGCAGAGGCCTCAAGCGAGCAATGGCCTGAATGAGCCCCGCACAACCGCCCCGGGTTTGCTCGAGGGCGGGTTTCCGCTCCTCTCTCTCATTTATCATCAGGACGTGGCTTCAGCTCCAGAGGCAAAAGGCAAGGAGGATGATTCCCACGTGGACACGGCGTCCCTTGGAGACCTCCGGACTGGGAAAACTAAGGGGCAAGTCTCTCGGCACTTGGGACGTGACAAAAGTCACCGCCCTGCCGCAGCACCCGGGCACCTCTACGGCCCCGGTGGCTATTTTGCACGCAGAGGCCCCTCGATGGGAAGGAAGCGGTACCAGCCGCTCCGCAGGGTCCTCTGGGTCTGCAAGCAACGCCCCTCCCGAGGAGAGGAGAACCCGTCGCACCCAGCGCCTGTTTGCAGAGGAGTCCAAAGTGCCGCGGCAGAGCCGCACTGTCAGCACACGGCACGCTCCAGCGGCTCGCTGGCTCCTTGAGGCCGCTCGGGCATCCAACTCCCCGTCTCAGCAATGTCGTCCAAGAGGCTTGGAGGGAGGAGCGCCGCTGACCCAGGAACGGCCGCAAGGGCAGGGCAGGCGCGGGGCTGGCAAGGGCGGCGTAGCCCTGGGACTTGGCCTGCAATGCAAGCACGTCCCTGCCCCTGATCCAGCCTCCAGCACCCCAAATCTGAACCAGGCTGGCCCCCCACCCACGGGACAAGGCCAGGCACGTTGTGTGCACCCTGAAAGGTCACCAGCCGCATGCCCCCTGGGCTCCCACCGCCCTTGGGGGCTGGCTGCGGGGTCCTGCCCTGCCCCTGGGGTCCCACCAGGAAGGAAGGACCTTCCCCCAGGACCTCCACCCCTACCCCTGCCCCTGCCCCTGGGGTCCCACCAGGTTGGGGGGCAGGAAGGAAGGAAGGACCTTCCCCCAGGACCCCCACCCCTGCCCCAGCACCAGGTGCGGCGCAGGACGGACTCACCCGAGCCGGCGCCGCAGCACCCGCAGCAGCAGCTGCCCCCTGCCCGCTCCCCCGAGCACCCGCGC